TTAGTTATAAATTATTTGAATTCCCACCTTGTGGGAAAGTGGCCAATCAGATTTTAGGCACAAATAGGAAGGACCAATCAAGTATAAGGTCAAGGCACCAATTAGAATTAGAGGGAGAGGGTGAGACCCAATCAGAAAAGAAAGAAAAAAAAAAATGGGAAAGCTTCCCGTGCACCCGTGCCCAATCCAGCATGACCACCCATTTTCCAAGGCCGATTCCGGCCAACTTCGATGGAGTTTTTCGACGCCACCACCACCATCTTGAAGCTCTCATTCCCCTCTACAAAACTCACCCAAGAACCACCTTGATTAACCATGGTATATGGCGGTTGGAGGCCACGAAATTCGACAAAAATCAACAGTGCTCTGGCCACTCTTTTCAATTTTCCGGCAAATCGGAAAAGCGATGGCCGATGCCACCACTTGGGCTTTGTAGCCTATAATCCCAGGAGCAAAATCCAACCAACCTTGACCCCGTTGGACCACTGTAGAAGATGAATCGACACCGAGAAGTTTTAGGCACCCGCCGGCTTTTGTGGGAAAAATTGACCATCTTCCGTCCACTTTTGGACTTCATGGCAGGTATGAAAGTTGCTCCACTCATTGAGATCTTCATTTCTGTGAAGTTTGAAAATTTTTGGAAATAGTTGGATTTTCCGGCAAGTCGGGGTGGCCAACCGCCACCCATGATGGCGCGTACGGCGGCGCATGGCCAGTGGGCCGCCAATACTATTTTTAGGCTATGTCGAATGTCTTGAATTTAGTTTTGATATTTGAATGACGTAGGGTGATCGTTGGAACCTGAATTCGTTACTATACGTTACTTGATAAAAATATGAATCGACGATCCGACTGTTGGATCGTCACCAAAATTGGATACATTATAATACGTAATATTTAAAGATCATAGGAATTTATGGATCGGGAATCCGAGGTACAGATCTTCCCGAATTGGATTTGTAAGTTAGTAAAATAAATGTTCACGGTTACTTGTTTTGGGCAATTGGCAGAGATCCGACCGTTGGATCGTAATGAAATTTTAATATGTTATTCTAGAAGCATATTGTGGATCGTTGGGAGTTGTGGATTTGAAATCTGATATGCGGATCTTTCGGGTCGAGTTATATAGGGTGTAGACCCTACCGTTGATCTTTGATCGACGATTGACTTGTGGTCAATGGGTCTCGAACTATTTTAAAATGTCTTTGAGGATGTGTTTTACGTGAATTATGTATTCTATTGATAAGAGTTCTGGGATGTGATTCGATAATTGGTCACATGCACCAATCATTTGGGACGCCTCGATGTGTGCGCTAGGAATCATAGCGTGGACTCCAGATGAGTGGATCTTTTCCTTTTATCGTACATATTATTGATAGTTCCATTGACACTTTTAAATTGATTAGGCATATTACCTTCATATAATTATTGCGAATGCTTGAAGTACTAATATGAACTACGAATGGCTTGATCTTTGTTTAGGGTACGTAGGCAGTCTAACGAGACGTTAGATGCAACCATAATATATTTGAGACAAAAGCCTTATTTGAGAAATTGAGTAATGCGAAGGAAATTGGTAAAGCCAAGTTTTAGTTTTGTGAATTAGTTAGTTAAATTAGTGTTAATTGGGTTTGTCACGGATAATTATCCCTGAAAATAAGTAGTTCGGGAGTAGGGCGTTATTGATTGTACATTTTATACCGTATTGTATATAATTGAAAATGCTACGACATGGTTGAGTATTAGATTGCATCATGGTATATCTATATGTATATTACTTGCATATAATTATTGGGAATGCTTTTAAGTGCGAAGGTGAACGCAGGACACCTAGGTAAGTTCAGGTGAGTTTATGGTATTAGTTGAATCGATGGAGTTATAGCATGACTACATTTATGTGTTAGGCAACTCCGATACTGTCGTACTGGTTGCCATGAGTTGTACATGTTATATTGAGATGCATTGAGAGCTCATAAACCTGCAACCCGGTGTTAGTGCTCCCGTCTGTAGCCAGAGTACAATCCTTCACGTGATGTTCACCTCCCGCACCTTACGCTCACCTTGGACTCAAGGTAGGTGCACATGCATGTCGTACAAACTACTATAGGTGGTTCCGAGTCGTAGGTGACTCGCGATTATTCGCAAAGTCTTCACGTGATCGTAGCACTTGAGCGTACTTATTTACACCCAGTCCTGTCGTACAGACCACTAGCGGTGGTTCCGACTCGTGTGCAAGGATGTTTGATGAGCTATAGATTAAGTCGTATAGGTCATTATAGGTGACTCCCGACTTGTATGCTAGTATTGATTGATGAGATGTGGATACCTGCACCCTGGTGTTAGTGCTCCCACACGTGGCCAGGGCACAGTCCTTCACGTGATGTTCACCTCCCGCACCTTACACTCACCTTGGCCTCAAGGTAGGTGCACAGGCCTGTCGTACAAACCATTATAGGTGGTTCCGACTGGTAGGTGACCCGCAATTATTCGCACAGTCTTCACGTGATCGTAGCACTTGAGCGTACTTATTTACACCCAGTCATGTCGTACAGACCACTAGAGGTGGTTCCGACTCGTGTGCAGGGATGATTGATGAGATGTGGATAAGTCGTACAGGTCACTAGAGGTGACTCCCAACTTATATGCTAGCATTGATTGATGAGATATGAGTACAGTCGTACGGGTCACGTTAGGTGATTCCGGCTGATGTATCATTTTATATTGAATAAGTTCATTTGGCCTACTTGTTAATGCATTGTAGAGTCTATAGACATGGCATACCCATGGTTTTGGCCATTTTTGAGCATGGGTGGATAAATATATATATATATATATATATATATATATATATATATATATGTGTGTGTGTGTGTGTGTGTGTGTGTGTAGTACTGTCCTATAGAAAACGATAAGGGAATTACAGTGAGGGGTTATTACTGTTAAAAAGGTAATAGTTTTGGAAAGCTTGGTTTTACTGCTTACTCACACTTTCTGTTTTGTACCCCTTCATGTTTTAACTGCTGAGTTCGTATCGACGAGGATATATGGCTAATCTTAGTATTGGTGGCTACTTTTAAGGGTATGATTCTTACCCACACTACTGTACTTTCTTTATGCTTTGACATCGCGTGTGAAATGGGTTTGCTCCCACTCGTAGCGCACTCTAGTATTTAGATACCTTTAGGTTCAAATTTATTCATATTTTATACACTATCACACTCTATGACTTCGTCACCTTCCATGTGTCGGACAACACAACTCTATTTTGAGGGGGGGGGGGGGGGGGGGGTGTGTCAAATGTGCTAACCGAATTAAGTTTGAAAGCTCAAAAAGTCCATGCAATAGCTAACAATTATAAATGCTAACAATCGAGGCCAGCATGACCGAACCAAAAAACTTAACGTCATTAATGTGTATAAGTCAAAACCTTAACATAAATTTTGGTTGTGACAATAATATTTTCCAAAAACTATTATGGTTGATTATTTCAATCCAATGAAATGAGATCTTGATCCAATTGAAAGAAGTGCAGCAACGTTTAACCTTAAATATAATTTTATTACGCTTAAGTTTATGTTGAACCAGATGGAACCTTTAATCATTCATTTACTACTGCAAATAGTGTATTGTTAGAGTCTTTTTCTTTAACTCATGTCGTCGTGAGTTTAAACTTCTTTTATTTTTAGTGTAATTAGCGTAAAGTATCACTTGAAATTATATATTCTTTAGTTACTGGTCTTATTAAAAAAAAACTTGTGGGATGACAAGAAGAGCGAAAAATAAGGAGAGAAGATCCTCGCCGGATCCTCGCCGGATCCTCTTTGTGAGGATCCTGAAAATCCTCCAATCACATTTGTTCATCATACAACATGCGGTCAGTTTTCGTCAGACACTATTTATATTCAATTTTAAATAAAAAAATTTACATGATTTCTGACCGCACGATATATGATGAATGGATGTGATTTGAAGATTCTCGGAATCGTCACAAAGAGAATCCGACGAGAATCATCACTCAAAAATAAGGTTGCTTTGTTGTTTTCACAGTCAATAGTGTAACTCTACTACTCTGAAAAGGCACATAATATTAGTCTATTTCAACTTAAATGAGTGACTTTTTTCTTTTAAAAAAGAAATTATGTAGTGGCTTCATCATAACAGTTTATTTTTTCGGGGATGAGAAAAACTCATAGAAGCATTAACCTACTTCTGATTACCATCGTGTGATTCATCAGCGTCAGAAATTAAATTCAGAGCATGTAGTGTAAAATACAGATCTAAAATATGTCATTAGTCACTGAGCCACACCGTTATGATTAACTTAAATTAATAGCTAGCTATCGAATTTATTTTGGCCTTTCCTTCGCTGCCGAATAAGTCAAAGCATATTGCTGAAACTTTTGAAAAATGATATTTACACAAAGAATAATTAGTTAGATTTGAAGCATGTCAAAGTTGAATAAAGAATTCGGTGGATTGCCTTGGTAGGGACAGATGCAGGGGAGAGGTAGAACCGTAAACAACAAAAGGGAAAGATTATGGTGAATTTCAACTTCCACATAGTGCTAGGTCCACCATTTGAGTTTCGCATAGACACGTGGTTGATAGTGTGTTGTAAACTAAATTTAAAAAGTGGGTGAGAAGGGGATGAGAGCCTTGTATTTTTATTTAGAGTAAATGGCACGAAACCACCCCACATCATAATTTCATACTTCATGTTTTAAACATTGTAATATTATATTTAGGAAGTTTTAACGAAAAGCTTATAATACTGTTCACTTTAACGAAAAAACACATTTTTACACTAAAAAGTCAAACATGATACTATTCACTTTATCCTTTATTTTATCCTTATTGTTAAAACTCAAAATTTTCAAATATTTTTCATTAATTTTCCTTATATTTTATCTTATGAAACCTTTGTCATAACCTTTGTAATGTCAAGCTTTCGTTAAATTTTCTGTCTAGTTAGTGATGACGTGGTAGGTGGCCACTTTAAGTTAAAAATTAATTAAATATTGATAAATTAATAATTTTTTGTCTAAACAAAATTAAAATCAATTAAACAAAAAAACTCTCTCCATCTTCTCTTATCTTCTCGTTCTGGACCTTCTGGTTGTGATTGGGCACCACCTGCAGCCCAAAACCCATCCCAAGGCAAATGTAATCCCCAGCTTCGACCACACCACCTCGATCCCCAACGTCGACCACTCCGCCTCCCGCGCCTTCTCCTTCTTCTCTTCTTCTTCTTTCTCTTCGTCTCCACTGTCACTGATGTCGCAGCAAATGTTGGCGTTCCCAAATTTTCCAATCTCTTTCTGCAATTTCAAACACACCATATAATCCTGACTGAAATTTTCAAAGGACGAAACCCAAAAAAATAGAACTCCAAATCGTATTACCGATGGTGAATCTAGAGAGGGACAAGCAAAAGTAAATGAGGTTACATTATTTTGAAATCTCTTACCTAATTTTTCTGGGATGTTCCTAACATAAGAACAATTGCTTTTTCCGGGTTCGTCTTTATCTTCGGCTGTTGAACAACGAAAGTTTTATCGCCGGCGACTTCAGATCCAAAGACCGTGAATGTCGTGTTCATATGAGTTGTAGCAGCAGCAATTGTGGACGACGTCTTGGCGAGGGCTCGCGGGATAAATTATGAACGACATCGTGGCTGCTGATTGTAGAGGCTCAGATTGCAGAAGAAAAACACGGGGCTGCAGCAATGTCGTTGATTCCTGGGATTCGTGGGGCTTTAATGCGTTGTTGAACTCGTGGATTGCTGAAGCTCGGGGCTTCGTGGTGCTGCAGTGTGTTGATGAAGGTGAAGGCGGAGAAGATCCGGGGGCTGATGGTTGGTCTTAAGCTTCTGCTGGTTCGATCTAGGGAGTAGAGAAACCCGGAGAGAGAGAAAGAGTTTCTTTTTCACGAATTTTATTTTGTTCAGACTAAAAAATCCTTAGTTTATTAATATCTAATTAATTTCTTAACCAATTAGGTGAGGGAGTAGGACAGAGATCCCAACCGGATCTCACCCCATCAAATCCTAAAGATCTAGAGATTAGGATTTTTGAAATTTGATCTAACGGCTATAATTATTATCACTTTTAGTAGGGCCCCCTGTTTGTAGTCATTTGATCAAATTTCAACGGTCCGGATTTCCGGATCCTTAGTATTTGGTGGGGTGAGATTTGGCTGGGATCTCTGTTCGAGGGAGTAGAGCTCACTCCTGCCATCTCATCATTTAGCATCCAAATTGATAGAAAATTTAACGGATGTATGACATTACAACGAATTCGTAAGTTGATGTATAACATTACAATGTTTAAAAAATAAGGTATGAGTTTGTTATTTGACTCATAGTTGAGATGGTAAAATGTAATTTACCTTTTATTTATACTAATCATGATGAATTTTCTTACCTTAAAAGTAATACTAAGGTTCTAAAAAGCGTTAGGCGCTAGTCAGGCAGCGGGCATGAGCCTAGTGCCTAGGCAATTTTTTTATTTTTAATTAAATTTAGGGTAAATTACATTTTATCCCCTTAGGTTTGGGTGTAACGACCCATCCCTAAAAATTATAGTCTTTATAATTTTTAAATGTGAATTTACGAAAATGCCCTTTGAGGCAAAGACGTTGACTTTTGTTGATTGTTTTGTCATGACACGTAAGGTTCGTTTTCTTGGCGTATTTTTGTAGTACTCGTCGCTACGAACATGTGGCTGTAAAAAGAACGTAATTTTGACTTATAACGAAGGAGTTATTAACAAATAAAGTTGAGGGTAAAATTGTAAATTCATTATTTTCTGGAATGCTCCAAAATTTTCAAGCAAAATCTGGAAAGCCACGTGTGTGGCCCAAATTAAAGGGAAGAAAAGTTGGGTAGTGGAGATGAAAGATAAAAGAGAGGAAGGAGGATGGGCGTTACCCAATCGAAAGAAGAGAGAAAAATGAGTGACCAATGGGAAGAAAGACCAAGAAGGGAAATGAGGGAAAAGGAGATAGAGGGAATCGGTTAGGTTTCCCTTAACCCGTACGATGACCCGACTTCCTTGAAGCTTTCTGACGGTTTTCCGTCCAATTTTTCAACCTTCTTCAACCTTCCATCACCACCAAACCTCACCACAACACCCCATCATCTAATTCTAACCAAACCCGATGTGGTGAGAAAACCCATCGACGGGTCCGGGTGGGTCTCGACTTTGACCCACCATTTGTGAAACAATTCCTCTCAATTTCCACCACCAATGTAATTCCCTTGAGCTCAGGAACAATGCCCAATAATTGGTTGGAGCGTCGAAGTCGATTTGATGACGAATCACGAAACACTTAAATTTTAGGGTCCCGACGAGTTCATGGTGATTTGAGGCTTTTCCCGGTCAAATTGGACTTGGCCACAGGTATAAAACTCATTCTACTCACTGAGATCTTCATTTCTGTGAAGTTAGAGAATTTTTAGAGATAATTAATTTTTTCTGACAAGTAGGGACGGCCGACCACCGTGTATGGCTGTGCGTGGGCCGAGGCATCCCCTGACCTTCCTAGGCTAAATTTGATTCTCCAATTCCATACATAAAGTTCAATTGACGAATTTCCGTAGTATGAACCTAGTTCCATTAAGGTCCATCGCTTGATTATTATAGTAATCAACGATCCGACCGTTGGATCGTCACCAAATTTTGATACGTTATATTACGTAATATTTGAGAATATTAGAAACTTACGGATCGAGAATCCGACTTACGGATCTTCCTGAATAATATATATATATATAAGTTACGTGTTCTATTGATAAAAATTATGAGATGTGATTTGATAATTGTTTTAGGTGCCGATCGTTCGTGACGCCTCAATATTCGTGTTAGGGAGTTGTAACGCAGACCTCAGGTGAGTTGGTTTGTTTCCTTTTTATAGTTTACACACACACACACACACACACACACACACACATCTTACGGTTTTCCAGAAATGTTTTAAATTGATTATGAATATCATGCCATGATTTAAATGTGTTATATTTAAATATTGCATTGAGATGAGATTTGTGGTTATGCCAAATGATCCTACGGAGGCGCATGTAAGTTCAGGTGAGTTATTATGTGATTGAAATGGTTGAATTATATAAGCATGCATATATTTATTTAGAGCTCATCATTGCTGCACCCCGATGTTAGTGCTCCCGCCCTGGGTTAGGGCACAACTTTCACGTGATTGTTCACCTCCCACACCGCACGTTCGCCTTGGTTCCAAGTTAGGTGCTAGCCTGTTGTACAGTTTGCATTAGGCGACTTCGACTCGTAGGTGACCCGTGCATGGCGCTAGCTTTCACGTGATCGTAACACTAGAGTGTATATATTTACACCCAACATGTTGTACAGGTCACACTAGGTGACTCTGACTCGTGTGCTAGCATAGATTGATGAGCAATAGTTCCAGTCGTACATGTCACATTAAGGTGACTCCGACTCGTATTTTAGTTTAGACTGACCTCACACCTGGCTTACATTTATTATTGCTGAGATATTCTGGCATGGCATGCTTCTGTTTTTACTGCACTTGTGCATTCATTTTTCGTACCTACATAGTATTATTTTCTGGAAACTATACGGGTTTTATGGCGAGGGGTTATAACGCTTTCAAAAGGTTTTTATTAAAACTTTATTTTCAGGTCCACTCACCCTTATTTTTCGCCCCTCTAGGCTCTAGTAGTAGAGTTTTTGTACCGACGAGGATTATCGGCAAATCTTGGGGTAGACGATTACCATCGACGGTATAATTCTCACCCTATTTTACTGTACTTATGCTCTGTCATCACGTGTGAAATGGGTTCATACCCGCTCACCACGCATTCTTGTACTTAGGCACTTTTAGGTTTAAATTTATTCACATCTTCCACATCAATACACTTTATGGCTTCGTCACCTTCCAGGTGTCGGCCAACACAGCTCGATTCAGAGTCCTAGTGGACATCCCAGGTCGGGGTGTGTCATTGGGGTCGATTTCAACTTCTTACAACATCTTTAAAACATTTCAATTTCATATATTTACTTATCATTTTATTTCAATTTCATACATCCGTTAGAAAATCCGTTAAGTAAACCGTTAAATAAGGACATGGTAAATGTAGGGTCCCCATTTGTGCTGACGTGGTTGTCACATTTGTGCCACGTGGTAAAAAATTTAATTTGAGGTATGAAAGTGTAACGAATGTATTATATTGAAATAAAATAGTACTTGAGGTATGAAAGTGAAATGTTTTGAAGATGTTGTATGAGGTTGTAATAGACCTCAAACTTGATGTGGTAAAGTGTAATTTACCCTTAAATTTAGTATATAAAATAAAAAATACTTAAATATATATATATATATATATATATATATATATATAATTGTATCGAAATAAATAAATTACAAAATAAAATGATATATATATATATATATATATATATATAAAGTATTAGAACATATTGAAAACATGAAGAACAAACGTATAATGAGTTTTTATCCAAGTATTCAACAAGTCTCTTACAATTTATTGAAAAAATAAAATCAAAATGAAAGATATCTAATTTTTGTCTAAATGAGAGTCGCGATCTAGGCGGGCGCTTCTAGGCACTCTTTCTTAATTTTCAAACTCCTAGAGATTAATTGGGAAAGTGGTCTGCCGCCTAGCGCCTAGGCGGGACATAGACGGCGCTAGGTGGGAATTTTTTGAACAGTGAGTAATACCACGCATATGAGGATTTGATCTCCAAAGCCTATTAAGATTCTAGTTTATGTAATCACATTCCTAATTAATAATACTATTCACAACAGTTGAAAGCATAAATATAGTGAATTGAATTATATAAACTGGTTTAAATTTAGGTAGTATATCTTATGTGTTAGGAAATTAATGGATGTTTTCCATTACAATGTTGCAACTGCAATTGCAGCAAGGGACAATTTGAGGACGGAGGGCGATGCGGTTTGCGGAAGAAGACGGGAGGAGGAGAAAGGACGGTGTGGGCTTGATTGCGTTATGAAGGAAGGTATTCCAACTAAAACCCATGTTTGAATTCGGATTTCACTGGGCGAGTCATCATCGATTCCGGAGATTCAGATTAAATGACTTCAAAGGGCAAGTTGGCATCGTCGATGCAAGCAAGAAACGTGAGTCTGATCCTGAAGTTTATCTGCAAAAAATCTTGAACAATCATGGACTCATGGCCACCACTGGTTTTGTTCTTTTTGTTTCTCAATTTCAGACCTACGGAGGAAGAAGAACGAAGAATGATAAGTCAAAAGTGGTTCTTAATCCTTCTAATAATTTTTAGTTGCACCTATGAAAATTTGAATGTTAGAAACAAACCTAAGAAAACTAGAGAACATGAGAATTTGAGCCTAATTAGTCAAAGAATCTCAAACCTCAAGGTTTTCAAACCAGAACGCACGTTTCTAAAAATTACCTTCGCTAGTTGGGTTAGATTCACTGATTCCATAGCAAAAAACTGTTTGTCAAACCGACTTGTAGATTGAAAGTTCTGAAATTTTCTTTATGAAATTTGTCCGAAGAAGAAGAAACAAATTGGAGAAGATGAAGTCGTAAATAATGAGGGATTGTGAGTTTAGGGGTGACGAAGAGGAATGAGAGGTCAGGATGTGGGATGGTAGGTGGAAGGGATGGGTGGGGCCCACTTCCCACTTAATTTTTTAAGTTTTTTTTTTAAATTATTTTCTTTTGAAAAAAATATAAAATGATTATACTAACAAATTATATAAATTGGTTTTACTTTAAAAAGGAAATACAAAAATGATTTGACATATATTTAAAACTGATTTACAAAAATAGTTGAGATGTGTTAAACTAATTCTGTAAAAAATGATCGAGGACGGATTGAGCTAATTGTGCAAAAATGGTCGATGACTGATCGAACTGATTTTGCAAAACTGGTTGAATTGATTATGCAAAAATGGTCGAGAACGGGTTGAATTGATTTTGAAAAAATGGTCAATGACAGGTTGAACTGATTTTGAAAAAATGGTGGATGATTGATTGAATTGATTCTGCAAAAATGGTTGGGGACGAGTTGAACTGATTCTGCAAAAATTGTGGATGACTGATTGAATTGATTCTACAAATATAGTCGAAGATGGGTTGAATTGATTCAGCAAAAATTGTTGAATTGAACTAATTCTGCAAAAATGGTTGACAACTGATTGAACTGATTTTGCAAATATAGTCGAAGACGGGTTGAACCGATTCTGCAAAAATGGTCGAGGATTGTTTGAATTGGTTCTGTAAAAATGTTCGAAGACGAGTTGAACTGATTTTGCAAAAATGGTCAAGGACATATTGAACTGATTTTAGTAATATATGATACAAACTGATTCTGCATATAGTTTCAAAATTGATTCTGCACAAATAGTCGAGGATGAGTTAAACTTATGGAACATATAATTTTGTTAGAGTTGTGAGGGTTGTGTTCTGTTTAACCTAAAGCGTTAGGGGTATGACTGGTATTTTAAAACATTGTTTTCATGTTTTTAGGCTGGGCTTTAGTTGTTTTTATGTTTTTGTCTCTTCTTGACATGTCTAAAAACTAATGGAACTCCTTGAAATATAGTGAAAGTTTTTGTCTTTATACATAAAGCTCCCTTTTATTAATTTTTTACACTGAAAATTAACAGAAGCGACCAAATTAGCTAAATTAGAAACACAACAACCAAGATAGACTTTGACTATTAAAAAAGTGACCAAAAAGATTTTTAATGCTATATAAAAATGACTTATTGTAAGCTATAGCTAATATTTTCACTTGAATCATAGACACTTAAAAAGGTATCTCAATTCTTAAACTTAACCATATGTGTAATCTAATATTGATAACTAATAAGTATGTGATTTTTATTTTATTTTATTTTATTTTTTTACAAACAAGGCTAAAGTGCAATTCGTAGGGAGTAGAATTATTGCCCCTCCCTCCCCTTATCTTCTCTCACACTTTGTTTTTTGTATTTTTGTCTCTTTTAAAAAATCAATAGAAGATGCTAACATGATTTAATTATAATTGGTCGAGTATGAAAAGAGGAAAGAGAGAGAGAGATTAAGAGGGGAGAAAATGAAAGTGAAATTAAATGAAGAGAGAATTCCCCTCCAATTTGTAAGGAAACGATTCGATGTGGCTTGTATGTTTGCTAAAGTTTTCGATACGACACTCATTGTTCAACTATTTCATATTCTTTTCGGTGATATTTATTTATTCCAAAAAAACACACACAAAGAAGATGGATAAAAGAAAATATCCGTGAGAAAAAACAAAACAAATGAATGTGGAACCATGTTTTAATGCAAGCTTCCATGTTCAATCAATCAATCATGTAAATAATAAAACTTGAAGTGAAGGCCATCATTTTCATGGTTACTACTCTCTCTCTTTCTCTCTTTCTCTCTGCTTTCTTCTCTCCGAACATGGTAGGCCATTCTCTCTCTCTCTCTCTCTGTCTTTCCCCCCTCTCTTGGTTTGGTGTTTACTATTGCTTGAGTATCTATGTAGCTTTCAGTCTTCGTACCACTTTTTGGAGGCTTGAAGTCGGAAACCCTACCCACCTGGAATGACTGACTCGTCCACCATCCATGCCGCAACTGTTGAAAACTAAATCCCATACTCTTACAAATCCTCCAATCTTATCTTTCTCCATTAAAAGCCATACTCTTTCAGATCTAATATGTTTACTAATTTGTATTTTGTAATGACTAAGTTGAGAGTTCACTGTTGGAATCAATTTGGTGCATACTCACTAATGACATCTATGGTTGATCGGAATCTCCCATGAACAATGGCGAGCGGTGAATAGAGATTGTTTAGAGAGTGTGATTGAATCCTTAAGGGACTGCCTATATATTTCCAAGAAGAATCAAATCACGGGTAAGATTCTGGAGTAAGAGTGGTGTGTCTGTTACATGTGAACTATCAAATAAGGCTATGGCAAGGCATGCATGAAAGAGAAGTCTTCATGAATATGTCTACGTGTAGGGAATATGAATTCTCATCGAGAGAATGCGTATTAAGATTATTAGATGATTAGATCCTATCAAATAATTGTAGAGAATATCCAAGTTAGGGTTTATATATAGATCTTGAGAGTTCTTGTATGGGAATAGAACCACAAACAAACCTTCATTGACTCCTCACTCTGAACGAGATTCTGATTCACTCACATTCACTCCTAACTTAGTTAATAAACTAATTGCCTCACTCCAGGTGCGTCAACGGTGAAGAAATACAAAATACACAATCCTCCTAGGATATGATTACGTTGCCTAATCCCTAAGATATCCTAATTTAACATGAATTAGGTTTTTCTTACTTGGGAGACAAGTCAACATATAATGTGCCTGAGCCTAGTTTAACTGACTACGGTTGTCTAACTATGCCTAATGTTCTGACTAGTCACTCCATCGTAGTAGCCTGACTACTCTGATCTAGACTAAGAAGGTTGACTACTCCGATCTGACTAGCTTACTCTTATCCAGACTAAGCAGCATGACTACTCCAATCAGAGTATACTCAAACTAAGCTCATCAAAGTAATTTACTCCTATCAAACTAAGCCTCTCGTTCTGATTCAGATCGTCTAATCGTTTGAGTGCTATGTGTTGTGGACATTCCGACCATTCTCGCCATCTGGAGTGTCACATGTTAGCGGCAAAAAAATTATAGTTTGACATCCACCGTAAAATAGTTTGTAATATGATCAATAATACATTGTTATGTGAAGAAAATGATAAAATAACTTGGTAACTAGTGTAAAATGATAAAATAATAATTGATAACTATTTCGAGTTTTAATAATTTTTTTCCATCTATCTCAATTAGGAGAGTAATTTACCCCGAATGAGTTTTCTATTCAATAATACATCGCCATGTTAAAAAACACTTATATGTAACAATGTATTATTGAATAAGAGATGAAAGTAAACCATTTCATGAGAATTCTGTATTTCCAACTTTTTACCATAAAGCTAAAGTAAATTAAAAAACACGGATGAGAATTCCAGCTGACAGCCCATGGCCCCATGACTCAGAAGGGTAATGATGACAAGCAATTTTCAATTTTTCTTTAAGGAGAGACCAAGTCAAGCTACCGCAAAAGCGCACCCCGTTGATTTCTCCCTGCCCTGGACTGAGTATTCCATGGGGTCACCACCAAACTACAGGACACACCAGCAGCCCACAAATGTTTACAGCCACCCACGCTCTCCTCCTCCTGCTTTTCTATTTTATTTATCCTTTTATTTATCTGTTTGTGAACTTTTTTCACCATTATTATCACTAATTACATTAATTAATCACATTCAAAGTCAAAGCCACCACTGCCTAATCAGGCTTCAATTAATACACTTTGAAAAGCTCTTATGCTTTTTTGGGTCTGGATTCCGTTTTCAGATGTTACCTGCAGACTAGAAGAAGATCCAGAGTAACCCCATGTGCGCACACCACCTGTTTGGTCAAATGTCTCAGTGAGGCAAACGCAGTGGGGGTGAGAGAGACGGAAGAAATTCCAAAGTTTGGATTTTTAAACCCATAAAACAATTGCATGGTTTGCAGAGCTTTCACACACATCATTACAGCTAATCACAATCATTGGCATTGGCATTGGCATTCTGCCTGAGAGCCCCCCAAGTCTCTATAAATATCAACCACTCTGTCTTCTCAGTCTTGCAGTTGTTTTTTTAAGTCTTTTAGGTAATTCTTTGCAGACCCAGATAAATACTGGGATCTGGCCACCCAAAAGGTACCCCACTTAGGTCTTCCCCGAAACCCCCCAACCCATTATTGCTTTGGGATTTGTGCTTCTGGGTTTCATTGCAATTGATCTATTCTTTCTGCTTACATTGATTGAATCTTTATGTTTAGTGTTTTGTTGCCCTTCTTTGTCATTGTTTGACTGATTTGAGTAATGGGTGGCCACTCTCCATTTGCTTTTCCTTGCATTTTGCTTCTTTTCTTGGGGGGTTGTTTTGCTTCTGTTCAAGATCAAGTGAGGGATCGAATCACACAATTGCCAGGACAGCCAACTGTGGGGTTTGCTCAGTACTCTGGTTATGTGACTGTCAATAGGAAAGCTGGTAGAGCATTGTTTTACTGGTTGACTGAATCCCCGGCAAATCGTCGGCCCGAGTCTAGACCACTAATGTTGTGGCTTAATGGTGGCCCTGGTTGCTCTTCTGTTGCTTATGGAGCAGCTGAAGAGATTGGACCATTTCATATTAGACCTGATGGAAAGACCCTTTACTTGAATCCCTATGCTTGGAACAACTGTACGTACAAATGCATATTATCTACTTTAGCTACACAGTTGTCATTTCTTTGTTTGTTAGTTCTAATTGATTTACAAATACTTGGCAGTGGCAAATTTGCTATTCCTTGAATCACCAGCTGGTGTCGGTTTTTCATATACGAATACGAGCTCAGATTTGTATACAGCCGGAGACCAGAGAACAGGTGGTTGTTCACTTTAGTTTTGTAACTTTTTTGAATCTTTAGTTTCTAAATTGGTAAGTCTAGAAATTAGAAGATTCTTGAGTTGTGTGAATCATGTTTCTCTGTTTATATATTAGTTTAGTTTGACACTGCTGTATATTCTTTGGTATCTGGTTGTCTTGTGTAGCTGAAGATGCGTATGCATTTCTAGTCAATTGGTTCGAAAGGTTCCCACAGTACAAGCACAGAGATTTCTACATTGCTGGAGAAAGTTATGCAGGTACTTATTTAAAGTACCTCAACCTGTTTGCCTCCTTTCGTCTTATAATTCATTTTTGCTCGGTTCTTTGTGTACTTGATATGATGATGACGAGTTCGTTTTAAAATTTCATTTTCAGGTCATTATGTTCCCCAGTTGTCTCAAATCATTTATGAGAGAAATAAGGGAAAGAAGAACCCAATTATTAGTTTCAAGGGATTTATGGTAAGAATGCAGGATTCTTTTGAATTGCAATTCTGTGCAAATACATTCTGCATCTTTCCTAAAGCAAGGGGTGCTTGGTACAACATAAATGCTTTGACTTTTTATTTGAAGAATACTAATAAACAGTGACACTTTACTTTTTTCACAATCGAAGTAGTATTTGATTTATTATTTTTGTTAAATTTGTAAATTTAAATTTTTTAAATATATGTGTCTATCACCCTTTCAAATTAAGCAACTTATAAAATTGACTTTAAAGTGTAAACTACAGCTTAATTTTATTTCTGTTTGTTTTTAATTTTTCTCTATTTTGATATGAAAAGTGCTGAAACTAACCTTGTGGTAACTTTGTTAGCTAATAGAATATTAAATATTTTAAGTGCAACCGAGCAAATCAATGAAGTACTTCATTTTTTTTTTTTAATCAAATGAAGTACATTGTAAAATTCAAGCATTATTTTGAGACTAATTTATTTCATACAATATTTTGACACTCAATTTAAACACACAATTCTTATGTTCTATATTTTTTATTACTTACAATGTCCCTATATTTTATGAGAACTTATAGAATCTGAAATGTGAGTAAGTGCCCAATTTTACACACAGTTCTTCTTCTATGGAATACCTTCTCAAGTTTCAGAAAAAAAAGAGACCTATTTATATAGATGTATTTATCATGTTGATTTATTTCTTTTTGCCAGGTGGGAAATGCTGTGACTGATGATTACCATGATTATGTTGGCACATTTGAATACTGGTGGAACCATGGTTTAATTTCTGATTCTACCTATCGATTGCTACGTGTAACCTGTGACTCTGGATCCTCTCAGCATCCGTCAGTGGAATGCATGAGGGTGCTTAAACTAGCAGAAATGGAGCAGGGAAACATTGATCCATACAGCATTTATACTCGTCCTTGCAATAGCACTGGTTCCCTAAAGCATAATTTGAGGGGTCATTACGTAAGTTCTGATTTAAACTTTCTCTCCCTTACTGGCGATTCATCCCGACAGTCATCATTCTCTAATTATTTGTTAATTTGGTAACGGTTTGCAACATCTCTAGATTCTATAAAGATGAAAGTTCTGATTCTAAATTTCGTCAGTGGTGGCACAAGTAGTTAAAATTTGGTTGCTTGCGTTTCATTACCACATTAGCATCATCAATATGCTCCTCATAGCCTTAGAGTTTCTCAATTGCATCTCTTTTCTTTTCAATCATTCAGAAGATCTGTTAATTAATCTTACTATGTTTAAACTCAGCCATGGATGTCCAGAGCATATGATCCCTGCACTGAGAGGTATTCTGAAGTTTATTTCAACCGTCCAGACGTTCAAAAGGCACTCCATGCCAATGTAACTAAAGTTTCTTATCCATGGCAAACATGCAGGTATGTATTTTCTTCTCAATATTCACCGGTTTTCTTGCACTTTCTGTAATAGCAATCTTACATAACTGCTTTCCACAGTGATATTGTTGGAAACTACTGGGCCGATTCTCCTCTGTCCATGCTTCCGATTTACAAGGAGCTCATAGCTGCTGGTCTTAAGATATGGGTATTCAGGTAGGCTGACCACATTACCAACTCATTATCCTCAGCTCCCTGAATATATATGATTCAAGTGACATTTGTTTGGCTGAATGTTTGGAAACTTGATGCTAAAATACTAGCACATAGTAGTGGTAATGGTGGCCGATATTGGATGTGCATTGCCTCTAGATATTCCCTAGAGGCAGTCCTGTTTTTTACGTTCATTAAGAATTTACTTGCAACAGCTCACTGGGCGTTTCATTATATTGTGCAATGCTGACCAATCATAAAGATGCTGTGTATAGATTTTGTGTGTACACGTGTATGTTGTGGATGTAGTTTTTGGAACTGTAGGTTGGTTAAAGAGGGACTAGGAAGATGAAAATAGAAAATTTTATTTTTTGGACTTTTTATTGTATTTAGTAGTTGAATGATCAATTATATGTGAGAAAATGATATTAACTTATAAAATTTACTTTGCTGACTGAAAATCAGTTTTTCCAGAAGCGTTCTCCTTTAAATTTATTGGCTAAGTAAATGAATATAATCATTTTGCTGAATCAAAATTACTTATCATGTTTATTTACAAAAGGAACCTGACTGCCACTGTTATTATGCTTCTTTTCATTGCAAGATTTAAAGTTTAAAGAGGCTATTTATCAATATTATATTATTTTTTTGGTTTGTGTTTTATGCTTTCTAGTGCTTAAATTTGCATTGTGTATCTGGGTAGAATCACAGATTTCTTTCATCATTCTTCTTTTCTTGGTTTTACTGTGCGGCCTGTAGCTGACATTTTTATTTATGAACTCTTTGTCCAGTGGAGACACTGATTCAGTGGTTCCTGTGACTGCAACTCGTTACTCCATAGATGCTCTGAAGCTACCAACCATTACCAACTGGTTTCCATGGAACGACAATGGCAAGGTTAGTGCTATCGGAAAAATGTTCTTTAGAGACTGAAACTTCAATTGCAATTTCATGTTTTCATTGTAATTTCAGTCAATAGCATGGTAGCCTTTTGCATCCAATATTTTTCTCATATTTGATTTCTTTGGGCCATGGACTGTGCTTCTAACAATCATATCTTCCGTTAACTGGACATAGCCTTTTTCTCCCTTAAACTTGGTAATTCTGCAGTATATTGTATAATCCATACAATATAGCATTGGTATAAAAAAGAAGTTGGTGTGGTAATCACCGTAAATAGTCACCAACATCTCTCTTCTATAATGTTTTATGATGATACTTTTGAGGTGTTTACTATAGGGTTGTCCTAAGTTGATAACAACAATGGTCAGAACTGTTTCTGCAACTGTGGTTAAATCTCCGTTGTCGTATTTGGTACTGGTTATTTGTGTCACTGACTATCAATGGTCAGAACTGTTTCTGCAACTGTGGTTAAATCTCCGTTGTCGCATTTGGTACCGGTTATTTGTGTCACTGACTCACTGCACACATATTGCCATCTTCTGTTGTTACTTGTTTGGCACTGCGAATTTGTTGGATGAGTTCCCAAATGTATGAACCCTAGTATCTGCTGGACACTTTCATGTTAAATACACGGGGGTGGCTTCTATTGTTACACAGGGATCCGTAAATTAGCATGCCAATGCACGTCAACCTTGAAAATTTAGTGATCTTTAGTTGGGCACTGGTTTTGTCCTAGGAGCCCTACTATTTCATCTTCTCAAAAGCTCTTGTTCTCTTGTTTATATAGGTTGGCGGCCGGAGCCAAATATACAAGGGTCTGACATTTGTCACCGTGACCGGAGCTGGGCATGAGGTTCCACTCCATCGGCCTCGCCTAGCTTTCATTCTTTTCCGATCGTTCTTGGAGAGCAAGCCAATGCCAAGTTAGATCGATTTGATCTTATTCACATATTCTTGATGAATAAGCACACAAACACCTGGAATTGCAGCAATTGTTCATACACAGGGACCTAGAAAACGCAAAATAAAAGCAGCATTCATCTCGAGTGCCCCACCATTCTTGCTCCGAGCAGCGCCATTTAATAGTCCGTTTTAGCGACAAGTACCAACAGTTAAGAGTAAACATTGGAATTGTTCTATACGTTTTGTATTACAGATATATATTCTTTATATTGGTATTTGATTTGGTGGGATTGCAGAATTGATTTTTGTTTGAAAAGGATGATGTTTCTTTGAGTTCAAAGCAATGCCCAAAGTTAACGGCGGAATTAGATGCTTGGTTTCTTCGGATCCAAGAAATAATGCATATTATTTTGGACGGTTCAGATTACATCAGTTAAATCCGCGGTGGCCATGTTAGACAAGTCAAAGAGAGATTAAAGTTTACACTTTTACCTGTATCTCAAAACTTGAATTTGTTTATTACAATGAAGATCTCATGGACATGTTATAGCAGCCAGTTTGTTCCCCTAAGAAAATCAAGTTAAGCAATCAGTTGACAAATGAAAATATATATATATATATATATTATACGAATCCATGGCATCATTCTTTTTACAACTTTGGACGCACGTTTTTGTGAGACCCCTTCATAATGTACATACACACACAATAAGGCTAGTTTAATTTTATTTTAAATATTAGGAATTTAGGAACATTGCTCTCCTTTGATAAAAGGATAGAAAGAAGTTTGTTTAGTAGAATTTCAATCCCTCACTGAGAAAAAAACATGGCGAGAGAGAATTTGTGTAAAAATTAGATCATGATTCTTGAAACTAAATAATTATAACCCACCTCTTAGAACAACTCCATCCCTAACAAATTGATTGGGCAATTGGGCAATCCAATTCCCCAAAATCCCAAAAATAAACCCCACGAGAGCTTATGACTGAGTGGATCTGAAGTCAGGCTGACGTTAGTCATGTAAATCCTGACGACAACATTAACATAGTTGGGGCCCGTGTTGCAGGCGCACTCAACCCTTACAACGTGGCTCGTTTATGAGCCGTTGGATTTTTTGATCAACAGTCTTGATTTTTCAGACTTGAAAATTTAAAAAAAAAAAGAAAAAATCAGCAAAAATTCTATTATTACCGTTGGGGCCATGTGTTAAAATCTGGGCTGTTGGATTGTAAAAAAATGTAATACAACGGTCCATATTAATTATGTAAGATAAGAATTATACAAAAAAACCATAAAATATTTAAAAGATTTATAATTTTTTATATAAATACTCAACTATTCTCTTCCATCCTACACCTCATTTTAAAACAACATGTAGCGCTACGAGATTGGTTAACAATCTAAATGAGATTTAAAGAAATTTCAAATGATGACACATAGCGTGACGAAATTGGTTAAAAATCTCTATATGAAATTAAACATAAAATTATCTTTTAGAAAAATAATTTTTTTAATACCAATTTGTCTGACAATTCATTTACAGAATAGAGATGCACTTCAACAATTAATATTCACTACGAAAGTAATTACCTTAATTGTCTGACCAGTAATTGCCTTAGTAAAATGAACTTGCTCTTATGAAAGCACCTATTAGCTCCTACGGATCACCAGTGACCAGCAAACTTAAACCTCATTCTCAGAATCGGGCTATATAACCATGGCCAACCTATGGCTAGTTGCGCTCTGTACTTCTACTTGTTTATTAAGGCATATCTATGTGGATTGTGGAGCCTACATCAAGGCTTATGCTAAGCGTTTGTGAGGGATTCAAATGGAGAATAATGTACATGATACGGTTATATTGTCACATAACGTTTAGTGCTAATAAAATAAAAATAAGTGAACAAAAATTTATACGTATTTTATTTCATTGGGACACCATTGTGACAGTCTATCTGTACCATACATGTTCATTTTAGAAGTATCATTATGCTTCTATCATTGAGGTACTTAAGGATTATAAACTTCAAAAGTAGATCATCATTATCCTATAATTGACGTACCAAACTAAATATTATTAGAAAGTTAATTAATTGGGAAACTTTTCCATTCAAAAAACTGGTGTCAATTGGAGCCGTAAAGAGAATCAAACAAAAATGTTGAATAACTAGAGGATAAGAAGAGAGGAAATTTCCTTCCATTATATTCTGATTAATATTCTGATTAGTATTCTGATTATTATTCTGATTAATATTCTAATATTCTATTCCTTGGCGCCAAAGTCATGGCATGGCCTGCCTAATCCTGCTTCAGATCAATGTGATCATGCTTCAAAAAGAAGCTCAAAAGGGGGTCCCATGCACCACACAAAAGCAAAAGCACCTCACTCACGTCATGCACAACATACCCCAATGCATGTCGACCAATTAGATATATTCCTTGCTTGCCGTTGGACAATGTATAAGGAACTGATTCCTCTTCAACTCATCAGCTATGTGTTGCTTAGAAGATTGGAGAGCAACTTCAATGACACCGGTATAGCGTTATCGTAGGCTTGTAGTGTTTAGCGTCAATGATACAAGAATAAATTTTCTTAACACAATATCGTAGGCTTGTACTCACGCCAAATCAAACACTAGAAGGACACTGTAGTCACTGACTAATTAAAGTTTATGAATACATATATATATATATATATATGGAAAGCAAATAGTGCAATTGGGATAAGCATTTGAATTGTTGAAGCTTTTCCTGCACCAAACACAAAGCAAGGCAATGCCATTTCCACCCATTTAAAGTGAAAGAAACTAAGAGTACTAATACACAAACACACAAGAAAAACACACAAAAAGATTGTGCACAGAGAGAGAGAGAGAGAGAGAGAGAGAGAGAGAGAGAGAGAGAGATGTACAGGTTCAGCAACACAGTGATAGGGTTCTTGAACCTCTTCAGTCTCTTAGCATCAATACCAATAATCGCCGGAGGTCTATGGATGGCAAGGAGCAGTACCACATGTGAAACTTTCCTCCAAACCCCACTTTTGGTGGTGGGTTTTGTGGTGCTCATAGTATCCCTAGCTGGGTTTATTGGTGCCTGCTTCCATGTGGCCTGGGCACTCTGGGTGTACTTGGTGGTGATGCTGCTGATTATTGCAACCCTAATGGGTTTGACTGTGTTTGGGTTTGTGGTTACAAGCCAAGGTGCTGGAGTGGAGGTGCCTGGTAGGGTCTATAAGGAGTACCACCTTGAGGATTACTCACCATGGTTAAGGAATAGGGTTAACGATCCTAATTATTGGAGTAAGATTAGGAGTTGCATCTTGGGGTCTAAAACTTGTGCTGAGCTTATTGCTTGGACACCTCTTGATTATCTTGAAAGAGACATGTCTCCAATACAGGTAATTTAAGTGCATATGTATACACATATACATACATACATACATGCATGCATACATACACACATACATATATATATATATATATATATATATATATATTTGTTAAATGGTAATCTACAATTGCTGGCTACTCAAATTCTTTTGGATTACGTTTTTCCACACCTACTATGTACAATTAATATCAATTGCAAGATATTTTTCTTCAACTTTGGTTCTTGTTTTATTATTTATTTATTTGTTTCTCAATAGCAATAAAATTGTTAATGCTTGTTTCCTTTATTCATATATTTATTCTTAATAATAGCTTATTTATTTATTCAAAATTAATTAAGGACTATATTGTTTTACGTATGATTTAGGGTTGCCACTTACTACTACGGTCTGATATGGTATTACTCTTTATTGGTAAGTGAGAGGTTTTATGTTCGATTCTCACAGCGAATTTGAACCACATTATTGCTAGCACATTGTATGAATTAACCCACTCTCCCACCCCCACCCCCTTAGTATAGTCGTTTGTTAAAAAAAAAAAGGGTAGGATTTAGGGTTGAAGAATAATTAATTAGAATATAAAAATATGAAATCATATAGTTTTTTTTTAGAGATAATCACAGTTTAATTCATCTAAAGAAAACAAAGCAGCACGAACTGATTTTGTTTAGCCGATTTTGAAGATTTAAACTTAATGAAATACGCTTCCCATGTTTATGATCGTATTTCTTAGCAAAAGAATGAAAATTTATAGAAATAGCTTTTCTTTTTGGTGTTAAAGCTTGTAATAATTAATTAAATAATTTTGGGTCTAATTAAAGCTTGTAGTAATTAAGTTATATTTTGGGTGCATATATGCAGTCTGGTTGTTGCAAGCCCCCAACTTTATGCAATTACAACATGGCAACTACAGTGAGTCAAGACCAAGATTGCTACCGGTGGAATAATGCGCCTAATATGTTATGTTACGAGTGCGATTCGTGCAAAGCTGGAGTTCTTGAAGATATCAAGAGGGACTGGCACAAGCTCTCTGTGTTGAACATTGTCATGCTTGTGGTCCTCATTGGAGTATATTCAATCGGTTGCTGTGCTTTCCGAAACACACAACGAGCTGAAACGGATCACCCGTATGGTCAGAACCGGATGAGCAAAGTTCGTCCCCGTTGGGATTACCACTGGTGAGTTTAGAGTTTTTTAGTTTTTATTTTTATTTTTTGAACAAACACTGGTGAGTTTAGACTTAAGTGCATATAATATATATACATTGCGAGACCATGAATTTGAATAATTGATTATACTAATTTTTATCTGAATACATGACTTGTAGATTTAGGTAACTAAGTCAAACAAAAAACCGTAACCCTAAGAGTTAATAACACTCTTCCACCAAACTCGTAACCATTGGGCTTTTCCCTTTGTTTTTTTGAAGATTACAAATATTAATGCGAAAATTATGAAAAAAGTTCTAAGTTTCCAAAAGGAACTTTAGTTGCCATTAAAAAAAAAACCCATCAAATTAGGGCTGAAAAAGATGTGTAATTCTGAAATTTGGTAAGTGTTTGGTCTAAAGTGCTTATCAAGACAGCTTTAAAAATGCAGCCCCACTTAAAGCTATCGACCTTCTCTTTTAAGTTGCCAAGCAATATTGCTTTTGGTGATTTATTTTTTTTATTTTTATATATTTATGCAGGTGGAGATGGTGGCACCACAGAAGAGAACAGCTTTATTAGTTGAAAGAAACTCTATCCTTTACTGGTTATTCTAAATCTTGTTCTTAGGTGTGCTCTAAAGATGGGACAATTCAGTTGTTTATTGGAGAGGTCTCAAATTTTCCTTCGTTTTGGCACAGACTTTTTTAATTTCGCTGCTTTCTGTAAAAAGATGGTTTTACTTTTATTTGATGCCATTGCCAATGTATGTCATTTCGTTTCTTTCCCTGCCTCACTGCCTTTCGAGGTGATAAACTTTTTGAACCATTTCCTTTCTTTTCCTATCTCACTGCCTTTTGAGGTGATAAACTATTTAGGCCTATGGCCACCAAAGTCATCAATATTGTCCCAACTTAACAATCAATTATTAAATGTTTGATTTTTACAAAACTTTCGATGATATTAGATGTGCAAGCTCCTATATATTAATTGTATATTATTTTAATTATCATATGATCTTATACTCCAACATGGTGGTAGTGGTAGTGTAGTTTTTTTATTAAACGGAAAGCTACTAAAGGAGGTTGAAGTATATGAAACTTGGACTACTTGCTTATAATAGTGCATGAGTCTAATACTGGATTGGCCAAGTTTGAAAAAGAATGGGTTGCATCAAAGTGGACGACAGTCTGCATGTGACAATGAAATCTGGTATTTATTTAGTTTTAACTTTATATATAGGCTATTTCAACGAACTTTGAGGGTTGAAATGATGAGAAATTACCTATTCTAAAATTGAGGAGCAATGTTTTCTCTCCTCTGTGAGAGCTTTCTCTCCGCCGTGAGAGCCCTCCTCTGTGAGCGTATTTCTCTTCTTGGTGAGAGTCTGATCGAGAAACCTTGAACACATTTCAGTTCCTGTCTTTAATTCATTGACCAACCTTCTGACGCCTTCAACTCCCTCAACAACCCAAAACTTTCTCTCCTGGGGTGACCTTCGTGAGTTCCGCCTCTGTGCGTGTGGTTACAGGTTAGTGTTCGATCTGTGTTATGTGTTTTTCAGGTCAAGCTCTTGGGCTTGGATCTACTGGGTGGAGGGCAACTGAGTCTCTGGAAGCAGGAAGGTTGGTGGAGATAGGGCCTAGGGTGACGGAATGGGATTGGGGCTTTTCAACCTAGGTCGATCTACCCCACGAGGGCTGCAGGGGATGTTGCGCTGATCTGATTGGGGGGTTTGCTTCTGTCAATTTGGAGTTGTGGGATCGGTGCGGTTTGGGGCTTCAGCTGTGGTGATTCTTATATGGGGCGGTGGGCTTCTATCATTCTGGTAGGTAGTAGGGGGTGCTGTAAGGGTTTAGGGTGACGGTAAGGGGGTGGGGCTTCTCAATTTTAGGGTGATTATCTCATCGAGGGGGACTGGGGTGGGTTGGGGTTTATCAATTTAGGGTGACTCTCTCTTCGGGGGGTGCTGGGGTGGGCGCTGTGATTGGGTTGGGGGTTATAAAGTCTGTCAGTCTGGGTTGCGGGGGCTGGGTCTGTGGGTGGAAAGGGGTGGGGTTTCATATTTTGACAATTTCCGTATCGAGGGTGGTGGGGATTGCTGGGGTGATTATAGCGGGGGTGATAACTCCGATTCGATTGGGAGGAGTGGTGTACCAGCATTAAGTTTGGTCGATTGGTTGCAGTTATGAGGATACTAACGATGTGTTGACTAATTGGCCGAGTTGAAGAAAGAAATCAGCTGGTACACTGGGTGGCTTATAAGTGTGGTCTGAGGTTGTTTACAGAAAGTAAAGGTTTCTCTACGTCTCAGGCTGGGCGAGTGGGGCAGCGGTGTTTACAGAGTGATGGCGACTAGTGGGGTGGATGAACTGGTGGTTCAACTGAACCAAACACTGGAGTTATCAACTATGGAGCAGGGAGTTAAATTGGTTGGGAAAGTCTTTACGCAGAAACCAGTGAACAAATGGGGAGTCAGGAATATTCTTAGAGCGGCTTGGAAAGAGTTGGGTGAGGTGGAAATAAAATGGGTAAGGGAGAATGTCTTTATTATTTCGGTCAAAGATGAAAATGTGGCTTCAAAGATCATTGAGCAGGTCCCCTGGGCAGTGATGAAGAAGGTGTTCTCGATCGTGAAATGGCCTCCGGAGCTCGCATTAGAGGAGCTGGAGTTGAATGCTGTTCCATTTTGGACTCAAATAAGGGGAATTCCACTGGGCTTAGCCTCTGTTGAGAACGTTCAGCGTGTAATCAAAGAGGCTGGGGAATTTATAGCCATGGAGGATCCCGGACACGCTCGTGGATTTGTACGAGTAAGAATCTTAGTTGATACGGAGAAGCCATTATTTAAGGGATGCTGGATTCGAAGGGAGTCAAATAAGGAAACCTGGGTGAAATTTCGGTATGAACGGCTTCAAGATTTCTGCTACAAGTGTGGACGGATTGGGCATATAAATACAGAATGCTCCGCTGAGATGTCTGGAGAAGGGGAGGTGGCGTATGGCGAGTGGATTAAGGCGCCGCCGATAAGAGAGGTGGTGATACCAACGAGAGTGGAGTGTGTGGGCAGGGGGGAACGCCGGCAGGCCAGGGCGGTGCGCGGACCGGGCTTCACGTCTGCACAGAATCAAGGTAGATTACGGATGTCAAACTTACAAAGAATGGAGCGTAATCAAACCATTGAGATTGGGGGAGCATCTAAGAGTCGTGGCACAGGTCAAAAAAAATGGCGTAGAAGAATGCGGGTGGAGGGAGAGGATTCGTCTTCCTGCTCTGAAATGGAAAGCATAAAAACAGTGGGTGAAGGACAATCGGGCGATGTACAGGGGGCAATGACACTCTGTCCGCCCAGGGTGATGACCCACTCTGGGGCAGCAAAAGAAGTGGGGAAGCACAAGATTTGGTGCTAACTCAAGCTCCACAGAAGAAACTCAAGGGCCCGGTTACGGAGGAGAACTTCCAAGGTAGGGCGGCAGAGATAGGAAGGAGGTTAAACAGCAAGGATGGAGGGCTAACGATGGAAAGCGCGAACCGTACGGCGGAGGAGAATAAGGAAGAAATAAGTGAGAATACTGGAAGACGGGATGTAATGGAAGGGGGGTCGGACTTTGATAAAGGTAGGATGGTGACACGGAAGGCGGGCAAGTGGGCTCGGGGCGGTGGCGGCTGGCCTTCAACAGCCGCAGGCCAGCCATGAGTTATATCTTCTGGAACTGTCGTGGGCTAGGGTCGGACACGACAGTCAGGGCTCTCCATGGGCTTATTCGCAAAAAGAGACCCTCTATGATCTTTTTATCGGAGACTAAGATGAAAGATCATAGAATTCTAGGGGTGAGGAGGAGATTGGGTTATGTTCATGGCTTTGATGTTTCGCCAGTTGGAAGTTCTGGAGGATTGAGCTTGTGGTGGGAGGACAATCTGGAGGTTAATATTATCTTTTCGTCCAAGCATATTATTGATGCTGTGATGAGAATTAAAGGGCAAACACATTGGAGTCGGATTACGGGTGTGTACGGAACGCCGTATAGAGTTGAGAAAAATCTGTTTTGGGAATGGATGGTTAACCACTTTACCCCCACGGACATTCCTTGGATTTGTGGCGGGGACTTCAACGAATTCCTGTGGGATCATGAGAAGTCTGGAGGAGTTGAGGTTTTGTACAACAGGCCAAGGTTCTTAGAAGAGTTTCTGTGTTCCTCTCAGTTGATGGACTTGGGGTTCAATGGGCCGGCTTTTACGTGGAGAGGGCTGAGAAAAGGGGATTGGGTGGAGGAGAGATTAGACAGGGTCATGGCGAATGAGAAGTGGCAGCAACTCTGGCCGAACTCTCAAGTTATGCATGAAACGGTTTTAGCATCGGACCACTGCCCAGTTATTCTTAATTCTAATATTGAAGGGCAGAAAGGAAGGAAGATGTTCAGGTTTGAGGCGTATTGGGTCTCGGAGGAAGAGCGTAAGAATTTGGTGGAAAAGTGCTGGGATCGGCGGCATATTGGCAGCCCTGTGAATAGGTGGGTGAGATCTTTAAACGATTGTCGTTATCGTTTAAGCAGGTGGAATCGCACTAAGTTTATGGGGCGAGGTAGCAGGATCCATGATCTTCTTTCCCAGTTAGATTTGCTCCAGCGGGACTGGGGTCCAAACTATGATGAGATAAGGGAGATATCTCGGCGGATTGATGAGTTAAGACTCCAAGAGGAGAGTTATTGGTGCCAGCGATCGAGGGTAAAATGGTTGAGGGAGGGGGATGCTAACACTCAGTTTTTTCACTCTTCAACCCTTCAGAGGCGGAGGAGAAATAAGATAGTGAAGCTTAGGGATGAGAATGGGAGCTGGGTGGAGAGTCTGTCTCAGGTGCGCCAATTGGTGGATAATCACTTCACTTCAGTTTTTAGCTCGGCAGGGGATCGTAACTGGGGGTCGCTGCTAGATTGCATTAATCCCTCGGTCTCGCCAGAAATGAATGAGGCGCTAATTGCACCAGTCACGGAGGAGGAGATAAAGGTGGCGGCTGGGAATATGGGAGGGCTAAAGGCTCCTGGCCCCGATGGTTTCCAGGGGATCTTTTATCAGACATACTGGGAGATTGTGAGGGAGGGTGTTTCTGCTTTGGTTAGAGATTTGATTCAGGATGCTGCGGGTTCGAGTTTGATAAATCAGACTCATGTGGTGCTGATTCCCAAAGTCCCGAATCCGGAAGTTGTGTCGCAATTCAGGCCGATTAGCCTGTGCAACTACTCGTACAAAATTCTGTCAAAGATTCTTGCTAACCGGTTGAAGGTATTATTACCTAAAATCATCTCTCCTTCTCATAATGCTTTTGTGGCGGGTAGACAAATTCAGGATTGTATTGGCATAGCCCATGAGATGTTTCATTATCTGAAGGGAAGGAAAGCTCGGAATAGATTGGAAATGGGGATTAAACTTGATATGCAGAAGGCGTATGATAGGGTTGAATGGGATTTTTTGGATGCGGTAATGGAAAGAATGGGTTTTTGCAGTAGCTGGAGATCGATAATTAGTGGTTGTGTTTCGTCTGTGAAGTTCGCTGTTCTCCTAAATGGGCAGGCTGGAAAGTCTTTTGTTCCCTCGCGGGGTCTCCGTCAGGGGGATCCTCTTTCTCCTTATTTATTTATTTTGGTGGGGGAAGTTCTATCCAAACTGATTCAGGGTGCGGTTGACCAAGGTAGGTTGGAGGGTGTTAAGATAGGTGGATCCGGACCCGTGATTTCTCACCTTTTCTTTGCAGATGATACCCTTCTGTTTTTGCGGGCTGATATGAAAAACTGCCGGAATTTGAGACATCTGCTGGACAATTTTTGTGTGGCGTCGGGGCAGAAGGTAAATTTGGAGAAATCCAGTGTATATTTTGGGGCTAATGTTCCGAAGGTGAATGCTGATCAGATGGGGAACGCCCTTGGTATGACGGTAGTAATCAATCCGGGAACATATTTGGGGGTCCCTGCCATATGGGGTCGGTCGAAAAAGCGTGGTCTTGCTTATGTGAAAGGAAGAGTAATGGAAAAGCTACAAGGGTGGAAACAAAATACTCTTTCCCGTGCCGGTAAAGAGGTTTTAATTAAGGCTGTTATCCAAGCTATCCCGGCATACCCAATGTGCATTTTCAAATTCCCAGCCGCTGTTTGTAAGGAATTGGATGCGTTGGTGGCTGGGTTTTGGTGGGGATGCAAGGAGGGAGCCCACAAGATTCACTGGGTTTCAAAGGAGGTTTTGGGTTTGCCCAAAGACATGGGTGGTTTAGGCTTCAGAAATTTTCAGGAATTTAATGATGCTCTGCTTGCTAAACAGTGTTGGCGTTTAATCACGGAACCGGATTCGTTGTGGGCTAAGGTGATTAAGGCTCGGTATTTTCCACATAACTCAATCTGGGATGCGAAGAAGGGTGGGCGGGCCTCTTGGGCGTGGAGCAGCCTCATCTGTGGCAAGGACTTGATTAGGGAGGGCTCCCATTGGCAGATTTTGGGTGGTCAGGAGGTGCGGGTGTGGCAGGATAGGTGGCTTCCATCCTTGCCCCTTGGACACCCGGTGCCGGTTGGCCAGGTTACGGTTACTCCCAGTTTAAGGGTCAGTGCACTTATCTGTCCGGAGTCGGGGCGGTGGAATATTAGCTTTTTACAGCCTTTCATATCGGGGGAGGCTATGCAGGCTATTGAGGAGACGCCTCTTGGGGATTTAAGTTGTAACGATAGGCTTATCTGGGATATGAGTAAGAACGGTTCTTATTCGGTCAAGTCGGGATACAGATGGCTGCAAGGAAGATCGCTGGCGAGAAGGGATTTGCATCGGCCTTCTGTTCGTGGGGTTCCCAAAGCGTTTTGGAAGAGGATTTGGAAGCTGGAGGTGCCCCCCAAGTTGCGGCATTTCTTGTGGCTTACTGTTCACAATTGTCTTCCTACTCGGGATGCACTGTTCCGACGGAGGTCCTCTCAAACCTCTACTTGTCCTATTTGCTGCTGCCATGATGAAACCATTGAGCACATTTTCCTTTCCTGCTCTTGGGTTGAGCCAATTTGGTTTGGAGGGGCGTTGGGTTATAAAGTGGATCGTCTTTCTCTCCCTTCTTGGTCGGACTGGATTCAGGGGGTTTTCTCTCCGAATTTATGCAACTCTGGAGATATAATGTGGAGACAATCTTATATTGTGTTTACCTGTTGGTGCATATGGAAGGCTCGCTGTGATTTTGTTTTCAAAGGGGTGCCCATTAACCCCTTAAAGGTCCTGGCTGCTGTCTCTGCGGCGGTGAGCTCGTTTTGTGGTGCAAAGGCAAAGGCTGGGGATAGAGGAAGGGGCGACGGCAGGAGGAACTTGCAGGTTACGAGATGGTGTGCTCCGGCCTACCCTTTTGTGAAGATTAATGTGGATGCTAGCTGGTCCAAGGCATCAAAGATGGGTTTTGTTGGATTGATTGTGAGGGACATGGAGAGTAAATTCGTGGCTGCTGCGCGGCATCCTATTACTGCTCCTTCTGCTGCAGCAGCGGAGGCTTCTGCGTTGTTGCACGGGTGCATGCTAGGTGCAGAGTTGGGTGTAAGGTATGTAATTCTGGAATCAGACTCTTTGGATGCGATTAAATGTCTTTCTAGCTCGCTGTCTATGGGTAGTTGGGAGGCATACCCAGTGCTGGCTCGGGTTAAACAGTTGGGGGGAGGGGAATTCATTGATTGCCGATGGTCTTGGGTGCCACGGTCTGCTAATGGCGTGGCTCACAAGATTGCATCGATTGGTTTTTCGGAGATGAGTGATGTCGTTTGGGTCGTTAGGCCCCCATCTTCGTTGGTCTATGTATTGAACAATGACGGATTACCTTGCCCTCATTAATGGGGTTATGGTGGTGCTGGGGGTGACGCCTCTACTTGGTGGAGGGGTCGTTGTGGTTTATCCCTTGGCACTGCTTGGTATTGTTATTATGTTTGCCTCTCTGTAGGCCTTTTATTTAATGATATGGTTCTTGTTTTCAAAAAAAAAAAAAAATTGAGGAGCAATTGACTGTTTATTCGGCTACAGTCAATTGTTTGCCTCTTGATTTCATCTTATTTACAATAAAACCATGAGATTTGGGCTGGGTTTGAAGGATATTTATTTGAACTGAGAAGGGTAATTTTTTCCGGAGGGTTTAGGACGAATTACCCCTTTATTTCACCTTATTTGCAAGAAAACCCATTATATGTGGACTAGGTTGGAAGGGCAATTTTGTCCTGTCGGTTTTGGCTAAATTTTGGGGTTGCTGTGTAGGGTTGCATTTGCTGCCCTTCATTGATGGTTTCGGGGAATTGAGGCTCTGACAGAGAGCGAAAGAAACAGAGAGAGAGAGAGAGAGAGAGAGAAAGAGAGAGAGATGCCGATGGGAAGACAGCGCAGGGGAGAGGTATGGGTGATGGATTTCAAAACTGGGAAAGTGGGTTTTGTCTTCTCGGTTTTGACTGAATTCGAGGGTTGTTGTGTACAGTTTCATTTGCTGTCCTTGAATGAGGGTTTGGGGGGGATGGAGACTCTGACAGAGAGCGGAAGAAAGAGAGAGAGAGAGAGAGAGAGAGAGAGATGATGATGGAAAGAGAGCGAAGGGGAGAGGTATGAGTCATGGATTTCAGAAGTGGGAGAGTGGGGATGGTCAGAGAAAACCATACGGGTTATCCGGATCTACCGCTGCATGCCTGGATTTCGAAAGATAAGTGCTTTTTAAATTTTTTTTTTTTTTTTTTTTTCTATCAGCTTAGAAAGATAAGTGATTTCGAAAGATAAGTGGATTATTTTCGAATTTTTTAGTGTGTTAGGTCAGATTTTGGGGGAATCATCAGAGATATTAATTTCCCTTATTAGTTTGCTTTTCTCTCATTTTGCACATTCATCTCTATGTCTGCCTGTTTGTTCTCTGTCTTAAGGTCGGTTCTTTTTTTTTTTTTTTTTTTTTTGGGGGTTTTTTGTATGGCTTTTTTTTTTTTTTTTTTCCTTTTTGTTTTCCAGGTTATAGATCTAATGCTCTTTTGTATACCAATCTTGGTTTTGTTTTTCTTGGAAAATTGTTTTTATCTGATTGTGGATTCGTGGGTTTTAATTTCTATGGTTTGTTGCAGGTTGCAAAGCAAGAGGTTCTCACCTCAAGATTCGGTTTAAGGTACTGTTATTATTATTTTTAGTTCTTAGAATATAATGTTTCGAACTAATATGATGATTTGGTTGTGAAATGTGGGATTTGTGTTCGGCTTCTGTTACGTATGTGATTTGCTTTAGTTTGGTTTTTGATTGGATAATATTTTGATTTGCTTTAAGAGTTCTGATCTTCCACTATAATTGTGATTTGATTTATGAACTGATATTCACACATTTGAAACTGATGTGCAGACCATCATGAGGATCACCACACCCATGATCATGTTCATGATCCTGGTGTTTCTTCTGTCAGCATAGTTTGTGAAGGGAACTTAGAACTTGAAAAGGTAGGATCTCTGTTTTGTCGTATTTTGCAATATATTTGATAATTTCTTCTGTGTCTTCCATGTGGACCTGTTGCCTTTGAATGAGACAAGTACACATTTGAGGGCCAGTTGCATCCAGAGTCTTTGTCCAGGCATGTATGAAAGAAAACTTGACAAAGGCTACTGATTTCGTTTTTATTTTTTCAGGCTAACATATGGCTTGGTACACTGTTGTTGAAACGAAGTGAAGACATATATCGTATGAAAGGTCTTCTATCAGTTCAAGGAATGAAAACGAGATTTGTCTTCCAGGTGAGAAACTTGCTGCTAATGGACATTGACATCTTTTTTATGTTAATGGATTTTTGGATCGTGTCTTTACTTTCTGATAGAGAAGTTTGATTTTAGCTTATTTGTTTCTACGGATTAATGCATTCAAAATATTATTTTGTATGATTTTTTACATACGTTTGTGGATGAAGGGTTTAGGTGCTCTGAAAATGCCCACCCATATTTTTTTTACACCAAGTGTATATGGCAACCCAGGCATTCCAACTTGCTCAGGTGCTTCAATCTTTTCAGTTTTTGGTAATTTTTGCCCCTGTTTGGTTGCTGGGAAGGAGAGGGAAAATAAGGCAAATCATCAAAGTTGATACATATCATTTGTTTTTAGTCACATTGATTTTTATTGTGAGAAATTATGTGATTATTTTTTTATAATTACCTGTGGAATTGAATAGTATTAGCTAAAGCTCTCCCACTGCTCAGTTGTATCTATATTAAGAAATTGCTGAGTAGATGGACTACAAAACTCAAATTCCCTCATTCTGTATATTTGCAGTTGCTTTTCCGTGTAAATCTTCTCTTTCAAAGAATTCAAAGGCCTCTAATTGTATTCATGGACTATAACTGTAATTATACAATGTACATTATTATTTAAATATAAAAAGGTATAATTTATATATAGTCAATTTAGACTCATTAAAATATACAATCTTTAAATACAAAAGTAAATTTGAAAGAAGTTGAAGTAATATATGAATGCTATGTGATTTATTATGTTCAAAATTGAAATTGGAATCATGATGTTCTTTGATATGAATGAAGTGTGGTGTTCTCCTTCAAAAAGTTGAAATTAGGTCTCTTCATCCCCTTAATTTCATTTTCTATTAGCAAAGAAATGGGATACCAATGTACTTATGTGTATTGTTTCAATTTCTATGTTTGCTAATCTTTTCCCAGGGAAATACTTCATTTAAGGAAAAGCCTGAAATAATGTTGTCAAGTGCTATACTGAAGCTATCAGATTGAACATGATGTGTGCAACTTAGATTGCAACCATGCAATTGCTTACTTGGAGGTAATAGTCATTCTATTGCATGCATATCTTTAGAATCTTTGTTTTTTATAACTATTGGTGAAAGCACTGCAGACCAAATCATGTTATATATGCTTATTGTAAACAGTTATGTTTGTAAATTTGAAGCCCAAATTAACATAATTTTCTCCCCTGTTTGACCACGCATTTATGAATGTTGGATTAAAATGTGTTTATTTTTGGGAAGAAATGAGACGGTTGGTTTGAGTTTTAGAAGCCTTTGTTTTTCTGCCTTTTATGGCAATGAAAAAAAAGGGGGAAAACATTGGTCTTAATTGTAATTTCCAATTCTTTACGCTGTTAGTAGTTAAAATTAGGGGAATGGCTATTAATATAATTTTTGGTGTATTTCAAGTTTCTAATTCACAAACTGAGTGAAGGTCACAATAAGTATTAGTCACTACGAGAGTGTTGGACTATCCTCATTCTGGAACCAGGTTTAAGAGGCCCCTGACAATGACATTGAAACGGGTATATAACCCTCTTCTTTTCGTCTTTTAGTCTTTCGCTTACTCGAGCATATGCTGTCATTTAAAATTAGTGGTCTGGTTAATGTACCTGCAGTATCAGTAGTTCCTCTCTTTTTAATGGAGTGGTTCCCTTTCTTGGGCATGTAAAATCTTGGTGTCTGTAAATGCACACATCACATGACTTTTAACACAAGTCTTGCTTCTATCATTTGATGTTACAGTGGGTAAGCTCTGAATTTAATGAATTGTTCAACTTTGAATTCAATGAATTGTGGTGTTTTATCTTCTGAATTTCTAACCTATTAATATTGGAAGACCTAAAAGATTATTCCAATGTATTGTTTCTGGATTTATTCAAATTAGTAGTGAAATGATGGTATTTATAAATTTTAATTTTTTTTTCTATGATTTACATGTTGATGCAGATTTATTCTCTACGATTATCTGGTTAGGGTAAGCATTTTGGTGAGCTTTGATTTTGTGAGGGTAAACTCTTAATCTTTCCTCTATCGTTTTGTAGTTCATCCTATTGTGTTAATTTAGAGCTATTTTAATGCTTTTATGTTTGTCGTTCCGTGCTGGGAAATTGGAAAGCTCTGGAAACAATATAGTTCTTGAGCTAATGTGAAGATTTTGGGTTGAACATTGTGCTGTGAAGATATTGGGTTTAATATTTGATTCCGTTTTTCATTTTGCACTTACAAAAACAGAGGATTGTGGTTAATTATTGTGATGTGAAGCTTCTATTTGATGTCGACTTAATGAGTAGCGATGTAAATTAAACTACGTATTTTATGGATCAATTCACATATCTCTTGCTTTTTCTTTCATTTGGAGATAATTGTGTAAATGTGTGGTTTTGTGAGCGTTACTCATGTAAAACATGCGTTCTCTAAATTGTTACATTTAAGAATGCGATTATATCGCTGTAGCATTTTCAGTTAAATTTTCTATGAATATTATTCATGATTTGAAAACCCGCAAAGCGCGGACAGTCCTGCTAGTAAAACCTAAAGTCCGGGAGTTAAAACTCTAAAACCTATGCAAGAAATGAATGCTAATTGCCTGTCAAAGGGAAAAACATTAAAACTTTGTCGGTTAAGATGAAAACTAGACATTAACGTCAAGATAAGAGAACGTCCATACAAATTGGATTGGAAAAGAATTCCCAAATAACTAGCTTCTCAACTGTTAATTTCAACCATGGTGTTTAGATCCTTACAATGCAATAACATATATATGTGATAGGTTTGTTGATAAGTATGATCCATTAGGTGGTGACGGTCCATCCCATGCATTACTGCTAGGTTTTTCTTGTATACATACATGCATATATTTAGTCGCTTAATGCATGGTAAGGAACCTTGATCGACATGCATAAAGCTCAGTTGATGGTTAGTTTTCTTTAATTTCAACCACCAGCCCCAGCGATTAAATTCAAGGACATTGAAAGTTCCGGGAAAGGATATTCATACATTTTCTTCAAAATTATTAGCAGTCCACACCATATGGCCCATGCCTCTTGACATTTGCCCCCATGGGAATCCATTAGACTTTAAAACCAAGATCCTTGTTTGGTTTGCCACAACGAGAACCACACATAAAACCCTCTGATATTTCTCATCTTTTAATTAATTTTGTGCAGCTTAAATATTGACTGCAAAGTAGGTAACCCTTTGGCCCTCAAGATTAATTTTGTCTGATATACCAAACATCATGAACCACTTGCACGGTCACTATTGATTGCGTGGAATGAGTTTTCTCTTATCCCCTCTGGACTTCCTGGTTAATATATCGACTCTCAACGAGTTTTTTTATTACCAAAATAACAATTGACCATAAAAAGATCACAATTTTTTTACTTGAATTTTGACGTTGTACGTAACTGAAAATACCCTTTTGTATCTTGTAAGTTGTTAGTTTGTAAAAGGAATAATCTTGAGCTCTCTCCCCGCCACATGTCCATCTTCTTTGTGATTGACCCGCAGTTGAAAAGTATAACAAAAATATATGATGAGCACGTAATTTCCCTTTTGACTATGCCATTTTGGGTTTTGGTCATTTTCTAATTCCAAAGATATGGAATTGTTATGTATTTAAAAAATAAAATAGGAAAACTAATGAAAAATACTTGAAAATTTTGAGTTTTAACAATAAGAATAAAATAAAGGGTAAACTGAATAGTACTAGAATTGATTTTTTAGTGTAAAAATGTGGTTTTTCCTTAAAATGAACAGTATTGGGAGCTTTTTGTTAAAGTTTCCTAAAAAGAAAGTCGGATTTTCAATATAATGTTAACAAGTTGTTGATAATATTGATAGATAACATGTCAGTAACCAAATGAATCAAAGTTTTACGAATACAAAATTCAGTTGAGATGATAAATCCCACATCGAGAAAAATGAGGAATTTGCATGTGCTTATAAGTAATTAGATTACTCCTCATATTATCAATTAAATTTGTAGTTAAACCTCAATTTTTTTTTCTTTCAAATCCGTCATATTCCTTAGAGCAATTCCACCCCTAAAGACTTTGTGCCAGCACCCAGTGCATTTATCCACTCAAGTGAACAGTGATAGATCCCAGTGAACAGTAATAGGCCAAAGCATCTCCACCCCTAAAACAAAATAGCCTAGTCAATTTTATTAAAATATTATTAATTTTTATTATAAAATAATAAAATTTAATAATCTGATTTTTAATTTCTGAGTTTCTCCCCACAACTACTCCTCGGACCAGAGCACGCCAACAACACCCCCCCCCCCAAATCTCCACCCTCCATCAAATCCCCACCTCTCCTTCACTCTCCGCTTCCTCTCCGCCGCCCTCTGCGGTTTGACTCGCCCCAAACTAGTCTACATTGGCGCTCGGGCTCGCTAGCTCCAAACCCGCCGCCTCTGGACCTATGCCCTGACCTTCAGTTGCATCGCCAGCTTCAACCTGACGTCATGTAGGCTGGTCCCAAGTTCGGTCAATTTTGGGCTGGCCTAGAGACCAGCTTGGGCTGGGAGCCAGGCAATCCCGTGGGCTGGAGAAACTTCCCTAGGTGCTGGGCCATTTTTTTGGCTGTGTGCCAACCTATCCCACCCTTGGTGGAAGTGCTCTTACACATGTTAAGTCAAGTCAATAATAATTTCTAACAAATCCAATCTTCTGAGAAATGTTTCTAAATTTGCACGCCAAGTATTACCAAGTAAAAGTTTGCTGATTTGTTTACGTAATTTTGATAAGTACTTGGAGATAAAGGTGGCACACATTGACAGAGCCTGACTGATATGCTACACTTACACTCACTTGAATAAGTCTTAAAAGAAATCTTGAATTTTTTGTCCTTACCTTTTCCCTTTTCCCTTATAAATGACAAGGACGAATCATTATTTTGGATGCAAAAGCACTTTTTGGTAGCGAGCTTTTTTCAGTAGAATTAAGTTGTAATGGCTGAACTCGCTAAAGAGCGTACACTAGAGGAAACACCGACATGGGCTGTTGCTGTGGTCTGTTTTGTGTTGCTTGCAGTTTCAATCTTCATTGAACATACGATCCACCTCATAGGAAAGGTAATTAATATTCTCAATTCATAAATTATTTAAGATTATCTCTGGAGAAATTCAAATATACAGATTATGCATACAAATGCAACCAAATCCAATGTAGTAAGGGTGATCCCCTGCGTTTGAATTACGGAATAAGTAAAATAACGTAGTGGTATTTCACTTTCGCCGTTTCCTGCTTCCACTTATACTGCAACTCTCAAGTTTCCGAATTGGGACTAATTTGCAACTGCTATTGTTCTTCTTGCATCATTTTTAGTGGCTAGCAAGGAAAGACAAGAGAGCTCTAGTTGAAGCACTTGAGAAGATCAAATCCGGTATATAACCATCTAATTGTGGTCATTTATTTTCCTTTTTTTTTTTTTTTGGATTTATAAAGAGTTATTTTGGTTCATGGCCTAACCATTTTCTTTGTTGTCTTTGTATTCTTTGAAGAGCTTATGCTGTTGGGATTTTTATCCTTGCTCCTAACTGTGCTGCAAGGACCAATCTCTGATATATGCATATCAAAAAGTATTGGAGCCACTTGGCATCCCTGCAAATATAATAAGTCATCAAAATCTGGAAAGAATGGTAGGAAACTTCTTGAGATCTTCAATCCCAGGCGCAGATTAGCAGTAAAAGGATATGATTACTGCACAGAGAAGGTAAAAACTAAGGGATAGTTAGTTACTATTATCTTTTTACCATGTGTTTGTGAGGGATATAATTGACTGAACTTTTTCTGCAGGGAAAAGTAGCCTTTGTGTCTTCATATGGGATTCACCAACTCCATATTTTTATCTTTGTGTTAGCAGTTTTTCATGTGCTCTACTGCATCCTTACCTTGGGTTTGGGAAGATACAAGGTAAAACTAGCAATTTTTTTACGGTCTTGGAATCTCTCTCTCTCTCTCTCTCTCTCTCATCTTTTCATTGTTGTTTTGGATTTACAGATGAGAACGTGGAAGGTTTGGGAGAAAGAGACAAAATCAATTGATTACCGCCAGTTCTATAATGGTTTGTAATTCACTTCAATTTAATTTATTTACCAAACCCTTTTATTAACTTCAAAGCTATGTGGGCCCTATCCCAGATTATGAATGGTTTAAGCATCCAAATCATTCTTTATCATATGATTGATTTTCTAGTTCATGTTTTTCGTTCTTAAAGAACGATTAATTGGTGCCCAGATTGACTTTCAAGTCCTCAATACATAATCTTTCTGGAATCTTTCTGTTGACCCCTTTTTTTTTCACAATTATTTCCATTGCAGATTCAGAAAGGTTTAGGTTTGCAAGGGATACATCATTTGGACGAAGACATTTGAACTTCTGGAGCAAGTCACCAGTCTCCCTTTGGATTGTAAGTAACATGTCACTATGAGGTTCAACCTTGTTTCTTGATCAACAAGTCAACTTTAAAACTCAGTGTTAAGCTTCTTTAAAAATAAAAAAATAAAAAAAATAAAAAAACCCTCACGTATAGTGCAATGCAATAACAGTTGGACGCAATAATAGTAACGTTAGGGTTTTTCTTCAAAATAGTGCTTTAAGTGTTATTTAATATGAAATGGAGTTTCGAGACATTGGATTGGGCATGATTTAAGGGTGTTCTAATTGTTTCTCCTTCTTCTTCCTCAGGTCTCTTTCTTTAGACAATTTTCCCACTCAGTTACAAAGGTTGATTACTTAACTCTGAGGCATGGATTTATCATGGTGAGTCCAACATCTGCCCAAGTTTTTTGCATCCGCGATTGATGCCAGTCGTAAAGGGATTCAATTTCTATGCGTTGTGATTTCAGGCACATTTGGCACCAGGAAGTGAGTCAACATTTGATTTTCAGAAGTACATAAACAGATCAGTTGAAGAGGATTTCAAAGTTATTGTGGGGATTAGGTTGGTGTTCTTAATTGAAGCATCTAAACTCATTAGGTTCTTCAGTCAAATACTTGTCTTATAAACCTAACTTTTATTTCATTGATTAATGCAGTCCAATTATATGGTTCTCTGCAGTGCTGTTCTTGCTGTCCAACACTTATGGTAAGTGAGATATTCTTCGGAATTAATCTGGATACGAATCTCGGTTTGATTGTAACCTAACGGAGTACTCACGATGAACCGAATCAATTAAGGCTTCCTTTTGATAAATCCATTGATGAACTTTTCTTGTCTGACAAGGCTCTCAATCTGCTTAACCATGATTTTGTGCAAATTTGATTCCCATACATCTTGAATATTTTCGAAGGAAAGAAAAGAACTCAATTTGGTCTCATCTGTTTCTACTGTTATAAACTTAT